GGCTCACTCTTTGTCTCGGAATTGTTGTTCCTTACAAACTTTATGAGGTACTTTATTCTCGTATGGTTTTACCTTTTCTCCAGGATTTTCTGTAATGGTTATTTTGTTCGTTTGTTTACCATCGATTTTTTTTTCTTCTTTTTCTTTTTAGAAAAAAATGTGATGGTAACAGGTGATGTGATGGTGTTATTAGTGTTTTGACGGTTAGTTGGTATTAATGGTTCAAAGGAAAGAGGGGCTGAGTAGCATTTTATAACGTGAAAGTGTATTGGATTGATTTGATGTGATATTCTTTTTCGTTTGAAAGATGGGCTGAGTAGCATTTTATAATGTGAAAGTGTATTGGATTGATTTGATGTGATATTCTTTTTCGTTTAAGTTACAACTGGCTGTGATTGATTATTGAAGAAAATAAGATTGTAAATTTTCAAAAGAAATCAATGAGCAAGCCCATTCTTTGTTTCCTCTGAAGTCACAAAGTGGGATGAATCTTCCCCAAAAGAAGAAAAGGAGTATATTGAATTTAAAAAATGTAATTAAGTAATTATCATGCTTCTCAAAAGTTAGAAAGAGCATTTTTTCTAGCATTATTGGTCTTGCTTTGCAAACTAAGGAATAGTTGAAATTCTTATAAATCTGATTCTTTTATATATTTGATTAATTTAATATGCTTTTTTGCTGCAATATTCAATAACTTTATGAGTAAAACCACTCTGATTATAATGAGATGATGATTTGTGTAATGCGTATTGGAGGCTGAGTTTCTAGTTGCTGTCAAATTTGAATTATTTTTTTCAGTAAACCTTTTTACGAATAAATTTTTTTATTGTTGTACTTGGTTTCGCTTATTCCGAAGGGCTTTCCAATATTGAGAAGCTTTGGTGGTTTTTCTATTTGGGGATGGCGTGGTTTCCTATTTTAGTTGTTACATTCCAGGTTCTATATTTGAATCTGAAATGAAACTTCTCTAGATTTTGAAGTGATTGCCTCTCACTCTCATGCATCAAAGTGCAACTGTTTGATGTATATACATTTTTTTGTGTCATTTGCCAAACACGTTGATGTTTGTATTCAGAAAATTGTTTAAGTATTTGCTATGTTGTTTGATACATTATTTTTTTCGTCTTCCCTTTATTTTTCACTTTCATTTATGTTCGTTTTGTTTTCCTTCAGAGTTTCACAGAGTGGGAATACCTGATTGTGGGACTTATTTCAGCACTGCCTGCTTTCATTATACCTGCTTTCATGGAAAATGAATAACGTGAGCCCACCACTTGTTAATTTTTTCCCTTGCCAAAGTTTTTTTTTTTTAAGCTGATAATTATTTAAAAGCAAATTATCAATGTGCAGGTACCACACGACTTTCCTTCTCACACATGTGTGCTTCTTGTCTTACCATGTCATATCAAATATGACACTTCGAAGGATTCAGCCTTATACGACCCACTGGCCGGAGAACCTGCAGTGGGGTTTCAAAGCCAACTGGATTTTAGGCCTTTCATACTTCATAGCATATCTAGAGACTGTAGCTATTTCCAATGTGAGTAAAGAAGAAACAAAAAGGAAAAGGGAGTTTATGAATATATGGCTTATGTGTTATGGCATTCCTACATTATCTTATTCTTCCCGTATTTTTACTGTGTGCAGTTTCCTTATTACGAATTTGTGGACCGATCCTCCATGTACAAATATGGCTCCTTGTTCTATGCCATTTACTTTGTCATTAGCTTCCCTATGTTCTTTAGGTAAGTTTTTTCTCCATGTATGTGAGTAATATATATATTTTTTTTTTAACGAGCTTTTATATTTGACGGTCAGGATTGACGAGAAACCTGGTGATCGGTGGGACCTGCCTAGGGTGGCCATTGATGCTTTAGGTGCTGCAATGTTAGTGACTATAATCCTCGACGTATGGCATGTTTTTCTTGGCCCGATTATACCAATTCCAGATTCGAAACAGTGTCTTCAACCGGGACTGCCTTGGTTCCTGGGGAATGCCTAAAGTGGGACCCATTGGGATAAAGCAAGCAAGAGAAAGTTCATTCCATTTATACTGGCCTGGGCATCCTTTTAGCTACTCCTTGTAACTATGAATATATTTTTGGTCTTTTGTGCATGCTGACCTTTTTAGCAGGATTTGCGTTGCCATGATGTTTAGTGTTCACTATGTGTGGTCACATGTTTTCAAGTGTAGCCTGTAAAATGATGATGGATTCCAACTAATCAGAGTTTTTCCTTTTAAATTAATGGTGATTTGACTCATGGGCTGTTGTTAATTCTCGTCTATTAATGTTGTTAGTGTAGATTAGTTATTATTATTATTATTATTATTATTATTATTATTTAATAAGTGTCTTAGAGAATAAGTTAGGAATTTAATATTATTGTTTAATATTTAATAGGAGATCTTGTCTTGTTGGAAGGTCTAGGGTTAGGAGTCTTATATAAAAGACTCCCCTTAGTTTATTTTCGTTAGTTGATTATGAATAGAAGATGAATTATATAGTATTTTGGTGTTCTTGAGATTGCGATCTCATTAATATCGTCCTACTCGTACGCTTTCCTACATCAGTTGGTATTAGCAGTCAGTACGATTCGCTGACGACAAGACCTTCAACGATCGGTTTCAATAGATCGACTACCGATTTGAACAGTTGGACGTGTGTTTCACGGATTGGTTTGCAGATCTTTCGACGGGGATCGAGGATTTGCGTTTGACATTTAATCGTGTGGTATTTGAAACCACCAAGTGATGGATGTATAAATCTCGTTTTTAATTTCCAATTCCTATACTTTCTTAACAAAATTAACTTCTGAATGCGAAGGTTCAGGACTTTGATCTGCTATTTGATTGTTGAGGAAATTGGTTAAAGAGTCTTGTGTGGTTTGATGGAAATAAGTCTGCAGCTTCTTGTGTTTTTTCATCTGTTTTATTTTTTTGTAGTGTACTAGTTAGTTAGTTGCGGGTGTAAAGATTTGCAATATTTACGACCAATGGATGAGTTATGAGTTTTCTTAACAAATAAATTAATTACCTCTTTTTCTTTTTGTAACAAAAACCTTCAAAACTAATGGTTTAATTGCTTTTATTTGGATCGTCAATTGACTACGATAAATAACGTTTAGATAAAATGAACATTTTCTACTACTAAACATTCAATATTCGCACGAAAATATTGATGTTCCTCATTTGAAATTTTGTCATTGGATTAATGGAAGTAACCACATTATTTGGATTCTCATATTTCAAATTAGTGGATATAGGCATATAGCACATAAAAATGACATGGTGAAACCACATCTTATGCATTCTACTGGGAACGAGGAAATCTAATACTTTTACATCATATATAAAATAGTCTAAAAATATTATACAACTGAGGTTGATTTCAGGTGACCAAGTTATGATTCAGTTTGATCACACACAATCTATTAGTGAAACTAAATATATCTTTACACTAAAATACTTTATTAAATATAATGTATTCCAAACTCTAAATAATCATATAATTAAAAATGTATTTATAACGACATGTTCAATGATTTATGAATATTTGTATATCATTTTATAAATACTTATAAGAAAAAAATGATATTGTATTACAGTTTTTATCAGTGATTGGTAAATTTAAGGTTCTCTGAACTGGATAGTCGTTCGAATCGATTAAGTTATTTATTTAATGATTTATTTGTTGGACCAAATATAACTTATTGAAAATACTATTTAAATATCTTAATAATTTAAAATTTTTTAAATGTTTAAACTAATTTATAAATAATTTATAATTTTCAATTCATTTAAATATGCATTTATTTATATTAAAAATAATTTTAAATATAAAAAAATACTTAAAAATCATGCAAACCATACCAGCCTTACTGACTGGTGTTGATCAATTCTCTTAAGAACGTTTTTTTCAAGAGGAGCAGACCGATCGGTAGACCGATTACCAATCCATCCGGCCAGACTTTTTGGTTTGGTCTGATTTTGAATTAATCTTATTTATATATTTAATTTATAACAATTAGCAGCATGAGTTACTACAATCGAATGGTGTTAATAATTAATATTATTCTTATATTTAATTTATAATATAATCGTAATATTGTTTCACCTTGTGCAATGCACGGGGCATGTACTGATAGTTATATATATGGTGAGTTACGGGCCATCTACTAGTACTTATATAAATGGTGAGTTGAAAAAAAAATTAAAGGCGATAGTATAGTGAGTAGTTTTCTTTCCTTTTATTATCCATAGTTTGAGAACAAAATGCCTTGAAATTTCTCTCCGTTTCATGCATTTGATTGGCACAACCATGGCCTTGTAACAGTCGTGCATGATCCTTCCCAAATGCTGTATTTTCATGATAAGAATTCTGATTCGAAACTCAGTTTGAATAGAAAATTTCATTCACATTTTGTCACTTATAGATAATAATGATAATAATAAAGAAAAAAAAAGTAATCATTCCATGTCAGTGATAGCGATGGAACTAAGATTCTTGGTTGTTGGATAAATTATAAAGCATAATTCAACTTTATATCCAATGAACATGAAATACTTGTATAAATATTGAGTTGTTGGATTTGTGGCTCATGGCAGTCCGCCGAGCCGAGGGCGGGAAGGGGACCCTCAGTCCTTGAGTCGAACACCGCCCAAATCAAAAGAAAGAGATGGAGAAGAACTCAAAAATAAAATGGCGATTGTGTGTGAGTGGGCAAGAGAAAAAAAAAATGGCGATTGTGTGTGCGTGGGCAAGAAATGTGGATTTTGAGTATGGAAAATAAGGGAAAGATGAGATGCGTTGAGTTCCAAAAATAATCTGGTGGAAGCTTATTAGACCCATGGATTTGGTCGTTTGTTAAGAGAGATTTTCACATGGCAGCGTGGGGTTTTTCACCTCTGATGGGTCTACTTCCAGATCTGGAGTAAACCGGTGGTTGTGAGCTCAGATCTGCTTGAACCGCTTCCCAACCGTCGCTAGACCGCGAGATTCCTGCAAAAACTCAACGACGGAGGTGTTTCCGGGGTAGAGCCTCCGACGCTCAAGTCAGTATGAGAGTGATGAAGAGAGGCTACGCAGCAGCTATAGGGGAGAGTGGGAATGAATGAGAGTTAGGGTTTAGGGTTACCTCATCTCCTTTATATAGGAGTGAGTATTTACCTGAAGTACCCAGAATGCCCAAGTCGGTGGACCTAGAAGGTCCAAAATGCCCTGGTCGATTCGTCTCCCCTTGTTGCTGAGTCATCAACAGATTCCTTTTTATCCTTCGTAATGTGTAGAACTTCAAGTATGTTGCAAGTGTGATGAGTCGTCATCACATCTTTGTTATTCGAGGTATGCGAGGTCGACCTCGAGAGCTAGGAGGTCGAATCGTGGATATGTGCGGATTCGGAGGCTACGCTTGACTAATTCTTCGAGGCGAAGTCGTCTTCAGAGAGTCGTCCTAGTTCAGTCGACTGCTGAGAGTCGACTTAGGATATCGGGATGCTCGGGCGCTATACTCTTGCTGTTCCTCTTTCATTGATGCGGACTAGTGAAAGCCGATAGACTAAGGTCGACTTGAGAGAGTCGACTAGACCAATTTCTGCCTCTTCTTGATTGCTCTCAATAGAATCGACCTTAGGGAAGTCGATTTGGGCATGTCGACATGCGAGTAGTCCGAGTGGTTCGCTGGTTGAGTAAGGAGCCTCTGGACAGGGTTATCCTTATGTGGCTATATCAACCTCTTATTTTTGGCAAACTTTAAGATGTGAATTTTGAAAAAGGAGAATTGAGTTTACTGATTTAATAAGAAGAAACATAATTAATAGATAGAGGAAAGAGAGAGAAAAAGATGGAAAGAGATAAAAGAAAATGGGAGAGAATGGTGGTAACGGTTTAAGGAAAAGTAATTTTATTATTAAAAAAACACAAAAATGTAATATTAAGTGGAGTAGAAATGGAATACTACAGGACCCATGTAATTAAGAAATAAAATTTTTAAAAGAGACAACCAGTGTCTTTAATTCAGGGGAGTAGCCTATTAGACATAAGCAGAGAAAGCTAAGATGAAGTCCGAGTGACACTACAACATAAATGTCTTTAACTAACATATTTATTGTACCACTTCACAAATTTTTGATTTGTGTATCATATTATTGTAACATTTTTAATATTATAAAAATTCGACATTTAAGTTAACACTTTACTAATGTATAATATTTTCATGTAACATTTTAGATTAAGTAACACATCTTTAGTAATAGTTTTTTCTTTTGTCATTTTTAGTAACACAATTTAGCATCATTTTTTTTTAAATATTTTATTTTTTAATTTAAGTATTGTTGTCTTGAAAGTCCTCAATATAGCATCATTCACAATATTATAATTGATAATTTAGTTAATATTAAAATACAACAAAACAAAATATTAAAAATACTTACAAAATATTACCAGCCCTGTGTGAACGACACGTCCCTTTTTTCTTCAAAACTACGTCGTTTCCTCTATCTCACAGGCTCGCACGATGTCGTTTCTTCTTGAAATGAAAAAATGAAATGAAAGGTGTTTCGGAAAAAAATGTTCATCATTTATACTTACGAAGCCCTAACTAACAAGGGTTTATCCACTCACGAAGAATCGAGAGAAAAATCAATCAGCCCCAGAACACAGATTTCGAAATTGAAATATGCCTAAATCTAAGGTCTCATTTGGGATTACGTTGGCGGACAGCCCTAGATCAGGTCTGTTCAACTTTCTCTGCTCCGGCTCACGAATTCAGTCACCGACGTGCAGGCCACTGCTTTCTGGGGCGTCGCCGCCGGACCCACCGCGCTCTGGGTTGTTCAGGTAACCCGTCGTTCACATCCATTTTACAAATTTCGTTATTTTATTGATGTCTGCCTTTGTTGAATTCGATATTTTTTTTATGTTTTATATGAAAACATTTTATATAGGCTTAGATCTTGCATCGAATTCATTTGAGCTCTTTGTGATATTACGAATTCACGAGTCACTCACACACACACACACACACACGAAGAACACTACCTTCGAGGGATTGGTAGTTTCTTGTTATCTCGAGAGGTGATTTGAGGCTAAATATTTTGTTTGGTCGTATGATTCGGAAAGGAAACGTTATTTTTGGTAGGTAATCAATTGAGGATCCAAATAAAAGCAATTAAACCATTAGTTTTGAAGGTCTTTAATTTGTTACAAAAAGAGGTAATTAATTTATTTGTTAAGAAAACCCATAACTAATATTGAATATCTACACCAGCAACTAACTAATAACTAGTACACAACAAGCTGCTACACAAAAAAAAAAAAAGAAAAAAAAAAAGAAAAAAAAAACAGATGAAAAAACACAAGCAGCAGCCTTATTTCCATCAAACCACACAAGACTCTTTAACCAATTAATTTCCTCAAGCAAATAGCAGATCAAAGTCGTGGACCTAGGCATTAAATTCAGAAATTTAGTTTAGAAAGTATAGGAATTGGAAATTGAAAACCAGATTTATATATCCATCACTTGGTGGCTTCAAATATATGTTAATTAATTACTATACTAGGTTTGTGTGCATGCATGAGACATTGAGAGACCATTCACAAAATTAAACTTGAGAGTACGTAGCAGTAATTAAATTTAATTTTTCTTTGATACATGAGAGTATTCATAATTACAAAAGGTAGCTGCTAGCTAGTGATGATATATACATATGATGAATGAATTAATTGTCATCATCAAAATCGAAATGGAAACTAAACCCATATTCAGCATCGTCAACAGTTGCGTTAGCGCTAGCCGACGAAAAGAGACATTTCGCGTAATCGTCGACAAAGGAATGCAACAAGAGGGATTCGGCAGTGGGCCTTCGATCTAGATCACTCGTGAAACAACACTCGAGAAAATCCCTTGCATCCTCTGAAAGATGATTTCGGCCATTAATCCACGAAAGTATTTTGTCCTTGCTCCCTCCCCACGCATTATACGGGCCCACCAACATCTCGAGCACCACACAACCGAGGGCCCACACATTAGAAGGCTCCTCTTGCCTCCCAAAAAACTTGGTCTCAGGCGACAAATACGCACGTGTACCACACATACGGTACCGTCCCCCTATTTTAAAAGCCCAAAATCACTTAGTTTGGCCATGAAGCCGTCGTTTTCGGCCACGAGCAGCACATTTTCGGGCTTTAAGTCACAATGGACGTAGCCAAGACTGTGAATGTGACGGAGACCTCTAAGGATAGACCTCGCGTACGTGCTCACCTCCATTTCGGGCAATCGGCCTCCCGATTTCTCAATCCTGTTGAGCAGTCCCGCCAGATGCATACTCCAAAAGCAAATTATTAGAAACCAAGCGGTTCTCGTAATCTTGTGTCTTGTGGTAGCTGAGGCATCGTGATGATCACGTGAGGGCAATCATAGAGACGCACACTTTCATCAAACACTTTACCCGCAGCATCTAACTCACCACAGGTGACAAGGAAATGAATCAGGGAATTATGCACGAATAAATCGCGTTCGAAGCCCAGTCTGAATACATGGACGAGAACCTGACGCCCCGCATCTCGAAAAGCAATAACCTGGCGCAGGTCTTGAAGAGTAAAGGGTAAGTGTAGTTATCAGGCTGAGATCTGACACTACCGACACCCAACATCTGTTTGTAGAGGAGAAAAGCTTCGGCCGGATTTTGGCCGTCGCAGGCGGCTCTAATGACGATGTTCCACGAAAACGCGTTATGGTTGTTGGTAGAAATCAACAATCGTTTGGAGTAATCGAGATCTCCGGTGGGGGAGAGGGCACANAGAAAGCTATCAGGCGGCTGTAGGCGAGCGGGTCGTAGGAGAGTCCGACGACGGTCATGCAGGCGTGGATCTGCATGAGATGGGGCATGGATCGACATTTGGTCTCGAGGAGGAGGAGAATGGGGTTGGAGGGGACGAAGGTGTGGGTGGTGTTCCAGTTGGTGGTCGTGGGGTTGAGATTCTGCTTGGGTTTGTTTCTGGGGCGGAGGAGGGAGACCGTGTGGAGGCGGAGCTTAGGATCAGAGATAGGGTTTAGAGTGTGGCGTTGTTGGGTTCTGAGGAGGATGAACAGAGATAGCATCATCAGATATTTGTGGCGGGAGGGAAACAAACAAAGAAAGAAGAAAGGGTCGAGTTTTCGTAGTAACGGTTACACTCACTACACCTTGAGTGGTATTTTCATTTTATTTTTATTATTCAATTGATTGTGAATTTCACATTAACATTTTTTTTACGAAACGATAGTTGAAACCTTCAGAAACAACTGGAAAAAAGTCTTACAACCGATAGGCGAACTAGCCCATACAAATACACCAAAAACAAAAAACACAAAGAGAACCATCTTAAATAAGTGGCCTAGACACGGAAAACAAAACACAATAACTCGACAAATTACTACTATTTGACTCCTTTAGTCAAACTAACAACACCAAACCACACAAACAACCAGAAAGCCAAAGACACAAAGCTGAAAGTGAAAGGAGACTGCTGAACATCAAAGAACCTAGACTAATAGTTAGTTTGACATTCAAGTTTTTGTGATACAAAAAACTAGTATTTGATTCTGTGCACATGGACAGAAATTTAAATTATTATGACTTATAAGTTACGTGCATGTGTATAATTGTAAAATTATAAATTAAATAATAGTATTACCTTTTAAAAATTGTCGTTAGTAAAAATGAACATCATAAAAGTATTCAAATTCATCACTATATTTATTATATAAAATAAAATAGATAATTATTTTTCATTAAATTCAATAATATAGTGTACAATCTTGCATGGAAAAATTAAATTTGAATGAGCTGGTGTAATGATCTTTATTATAAAAGATGACTTTTCTTATATTTATTTTGCGTTGTATCTATAGAATATCAATACTTAATACTTCTTAATTTGCATGTGAATGAATAGTCAACATACAAATTAAAAAAATATTTTTAACTATTCAAACTTAAGGGATCAAACATTATCTCGTAGCACATGCAACAGTTACATTCTCCAAATATACAGAAATAAAAAATGGTAATCGCATGCAACAATTATAAATCTAAAATATAGTAAAAAATAGGTGGATGATTGTATGAAATAAACTAAAAGAAAAAAAATTATGTTGTAACGATTTTTGGATGGAGGTCATAAAATGTTTTATCAAATGCAACCTATTTTTATTAAATGAACTCGTATTATTATTAATTGAAAGCTGAATAAAATTAAATAAAACTTGTCAAAAATTATATATCTATATAGATTGTTATGCAAATGTTAATGTTACATTCACAATGAAATTGAATAATTAAAATAAAATGAAAATACCACTGAAGGTGTAGTGAACGTGTAACTGTTACTACGAAAACTCGACCTATCTTTTCTTTCTTTGTTTGCTTGTTTCCTTCCCGCCACAAATATTTGAATCTGCACTGCATAATCATAATATTAATATTGGTGATGCTGTCTCTGTTTATCCTCCTCCTCAGGACCCAACAGCGCCACACCCTTAGCCCTATCTCCGATCTTAAGCTCCGCCTCCACACGCTCTCACTCCTCCGCCCCAGAAACAAACCCAAACCCAAGCAGAATCTCAACCCCACACCCACCAACTGGAACACCACCCACACCTTCGTCCTCTCCAACCCCATTCTCCTCCTCCTCGAGACCAAATGCCGATCCATGCCCCACCTCATGCAGATCCACGCCCGCATGACTGTCGCCGGGCTCTCCTCCGACCCGCTCGCCCACAGCCGCCTCGTCGCTTTCTGTGCCCTCTCCCCCACCGGCGATCTCGATTACTCCAAACGATTGTTGATTTCTACCAACAACCATAACGCATTTTCGTGGAACATCGTCATTAGAGCCGCCTGCGACGGCCATAATCCAGCCCAAGCTTTTCTCCTCTACAAACAGATGTTGGGTGTTGGTAATTTCAGATCTAGGCCCGATAACTACACTTACCCTTTACTCTTCAAGACCTGCGCCAGGCTGTTGCTTTTAGATGTGGGTTGTCAGGTTCTTGTCCATGTACTCAGACTGGGCTTCGAACGCGATGTATTCGTGCATAATTCTCTGATTCATTTTCTCGTCACCTGTGGTGAGTTAGATGCTGCGGGTAAAGTGTTCGATGAAAGTCCCGTGAGAGACCTGGTTTCCTGGAACTCTTTGATTAATGGCTACGTGAGGTGCATGAAAGCGAAAGAAGCTCTGGGGATTTACAAAAAAATGGAGATGGAGGGGAAAATAGAGCCGGACGAGGTCACCCTGATTGGAGTTCTCATGGCGTGTGCACAGTTGGAGGAATCCAAACTAGGCCGAGAATTTCATAACTACATAAAACACAAAGGGCTGAAAATGACGGTCCCGCTCGCGAATTCCCTCCTCGACATGTACGTGAAGTGCGGAGATCTCGAAGAAGCAAAGAATTTGTTCGAGAAAATGGAGGAGGAGAAGAAGACTACGGTGACCTGGACAACAATGGTAACGGGATATGCCAAATCCGGACACTTAGACATTGCACGTAAACTATTCGACAAAATGCCTGAAAAAGACGTGGTCCCCTGGAATGCAATGATTGGAGCCTATTCTCGGGCCAACCGGGCCAAAGAGGCCCTGTCCTTATTCCACGAGATGCAAGCGGCCCGAATCGAGCCCGATGAGGTCACCATGGTCAGCTGCCTTTCCGCATGCTCACAGCTTGGTGCCCTTGACCTCGGGATATGGGTCCATAGCTACATACGAAAAAACAATCTCTCCATGAACGTCGTTCTCGGGACAGCCCTAGTTGATATGTACGCCAAATGCGGAAGCATCACGCGCGCACTCGAGGCTTTCCACGAGATTTCAGGCAAAAATTCTCTGACTTACACCGCCATAATCTGCGGGCTGGCTTTACATGGAGAATCAAAACGGGCCCTTTCTTACTTTACGGAGATGATAAATTTGGGATTAATGGCGGACGAGGTGACTTACTTGGGCGTTCTATCCGCGTGCTGCCATGGAGGCTTAGTCGAAGAGGGTCGGAAGGTATTTTCTCGAATGAGCTCGAAATACAAAGAAATGAAACACTATTCTTGCATGGTGGACCTTTTTGGCCGTGCGGGCTTGTTGAGTGAAGCTGTGGCGGTGATCGAGAGCATGCCTATGGAGGGAGATGGCGTGATATGGGGAGCTCTGTTTTTTGCGTGCCGAATGCATAGAAATTTGGAGTTGGGAGAAAAAGCGGCGAAAAAGTTGCTGGAGCTTGATGAGGGTGATAGTGGGATATATGTTTTGCTGGCGGGAATGTATGTGGAGAGAGGTATGTGGGAGGAGGCTGAGGAGGTAAGGAGGGTTATGAGGGAGAGAGGGGTTGATAAGATGCCCGGGTGCAGCTCGATTGAGGTTGATGGGAATGTGCACGAGTTTGTGGTGAGGGACAGGTGGCATCCCGAGAGAAGGCCGGTGCATGAGTGTTTGGTGAGGTTGTCAAGGCAGATGGAGGTTTTGGAGGATGTGTTTTTCTTGGACAGTTGAAAGATGATAGTTGGTGTTTGTCTGTTGAGTTGGGGAGCTATTTTGATATATACATGATTTATGATTTAGATGATGTTATTATAGTTTTAGCAACTCGTTAATTAATCCAACTGTTAAGAAAGAAAGCACACACGTATATATCTGGCGCAATCACTGAATCTGTTATTGAATTTGCGCGATGTTTCGAGCTTTTGTTGGAGCAAAAAATGCGCTGCATTTTGGAGGCAGTGCAACAACTGGTATCTTGTGGGAGTTGCAGTTTATGTTTGGTTTAATGGAGGGAGGGGAGGAGATGAGATGTGACATAACTTTACCAAGACTTTTAAGAGGGAGATAAGGGGAGGGAAGAGAATATGATAAATTTTGTTTAGTTAAATACTTAAGAGGGTAAAATAATATAAGATTGATATAAAAAAAAAAAAAAAGTAAATTCCTCACCTCCAGATTTTTTCCTCCTCTTTCCTCTAAACTAGTATACGTACTTGTGTGATGCACGAGTCTTTGATATGAATAAATAGTTTCATATTATTTTATAATTTATTCATTTATTTGCTAATCCATCATTAATAAAGATTTATCTGGATATTATATCATGGCCCAAAGATCTAAAACTATTAATTTCAAGCTTTAGTTTATATTTGTTTAAGATGCAAAAGATGAGTTAATTATAATTCAGGACTTGTATGATCAAAATTTATCAAGTAATTGAAATTGAGCCGGTGGACCTGGGTCAATTCACGGGTATGGGTTTTAAAACTATGGTTCTTCTCCTTTTCCATTCCCCGTCCTAGTTGAAAGAACAATTCTTGGCAGAGGGCAGAGCTCCAGCTCTATTCAGCGCCAGTGTACAAAACACAAAACAAGAGTCCTGCAGTTTTCATTCTATCTGCATCAGATACAAATGGAAGGTAAAGCTCCACTCTAACTCCGTCTTTTGTTTTGTTTCGTTTTTTGGAGTTAATTTTTCAGGGCTGCACGAGTTCAAATCTATGGCTTGCTCAAGACCCCAGCAAAAGATGGGGTGAAATTTTTTTCCTTCTATACACTTCCTTTTCGCTCACTCTTTGTCTCGGAATTGTTGTTCCTTACAAACTTTATGAGGTACTTTATTCTCGTATGGTTTTACCTTTTCTCCAGGATTTTCTGTAATGGTTATTTTGTTCGTTTGTTTACCAACGATTTTTTTTTCTTCTTTTTCTTTTTAGAAAAAATTGTGATGGTAACAGGTGATGTGATGGTGTTATTAGTGTTTTGACGGTTAGTTGGTATTAATGGTCAAATGAAAGAGGGGCTGAGTAGCATTTTATAATGTGAAAGTGTATTGGATTGATTTGATGTGATATTCTTTTTCGTTTGAAAGAGGGGCTGAGTAGCATTTTATAATGTGAAAGTGTATTGGATTGATTTGATGTGATATTCTTTTTCGTTTAAGTTACAACTGGCTGTGATTGATTATTGAAGAAAATAAGATTGTAAATTTTCAAAAGAAATCAATGAGCAAGCCCATTCTTTGTTTCCTCTGAAGTCACAAAGTGGGATGAATCTTCCCCAAAAGAAGAAAAGGATTATATTGAATTTAAAAAATGTAATTAAGTAATTATCATGCTTCTCAAAAGTTTCAAAGAGCATTTTTTCTAGCATTATTGGTCTTGCTTTGCAAATTAAGGAATAGTTGAAATTCTTATAAATCTGATTCTTTTATATTTTTGATTAATTTAATATGCTTTTTTGCTGCAATATTCAATAACTTTATGAGTAAAACCACTATGATTATAATGAGATGATGATTTGTGTAATGCGTATTGGAGGCTGAGTTTCTAGTTGCTGTCAAATTTGAATTATTTTTTTCAGTAAACCTTTTTACGAATAAATTTTTTTAATGTTGGACTTGGTTTCGCTTATTCCGAAGGGCTTTCCAATATTGAGAAGCTTTGGTGGTTTTTCTATTTGGGGATGGCGTGGTTTCCTATTTTAGTTGTTACATTCCAGGTTCTATATTTGAATCTGAAATGAAACTTCTCTAGATTTTGAAGTGATTGCCTCTCACTCATGCATCAAAGTGCAAATGTTTGATGTATATACATTTTTTGTGTCATTTGCCAAACACGTTGATGTTTGTATTCAGAAACTTGTTTAAGTATTTGCTATGTTGTTTGATACATTATTTTTTTCGTCTTCCCTTTATTTTTCACTTTCATTTATGTTCGTTTTGTTTTCCTTCAGAGTTTCACAGAGTGGGAATACCTGATTGTGGACTTATTTCAGCACTGTCTGCTTTCATTATACCTATAATTTTTGTTGGAAAGGTAACATTGTGGGTATGCTCTCAAGGTTTGATTGAATTCGTGTTTTAATGGCACAGAATGCTCAAAATATGTTTTAAGGGGCTTTTCGGCCAATACATGGAAAGTTATTACAGCCTTTTCTTTCATGTTGTAATAATTATCTTTTTTTCCTAAATTTTCCTAGGCAGATAGCAGCAAGTGTTGGAAGGATCGTTATTGGGTAAACGTGAGTATCGGTTTTGTTTGTTGTATTATTGGTTTTGCTCTTTTTTCTTTTCTCTTCCCTTTCTCTTTACATTTTTTCCCGCTTTAATTTAATATCACGCGTGATGTATTATATACTAAGATAAACAAGTGCACTTTGTACCCAAACTAAATGGAGAAACAACTGCCATGCAAAAATTGACATATATGATTTAATTCAAAGTCCTCCTGTCAGCTTTTGGTCTGTCTAATTAAGAAAATTTTGTCTTCGCTAACACAATTCACGATTGTCTGTAACTGTGAAATTTTTGTTCTGCCAGGCTAATCTGTGGATTATGCTTTTCAGCTACGTGGGGAATTACTTCTGGACCCATTATTTTTTCTCCGTCTTGGGCGCCTCGTATACTTTCCCATCATGGAAAATGAATAACGTGAGCCCACCACTTGTTAATTTTTTCCCTTGCCGAAGTTGCTTTTTTCTTTTTTTTTTTTAAGCTGATAATTATTTAAAAGCAAATTATCAATGTGCAGGTACCACACACGACTTTCCTTCTCACACATGTGTGCTTCTTGTTTTACCATGTCATATCAAATATGACACTTCGAAGGATTCAGCCTTATACGACCCACTGGCCGGAGAACCTGCAGTGGGGTTTCAAAGCCAACTGGATTTTAGGCTTTTCATACTTCATAGCATATCTAGACTGTAGCTATTTCCAATGTGAGTAAAGAAGAAACAAAAAGGAAAAGGGAGTTTATGAATATATGGCTTATGTGTTATGGCATTCCTACATTATCTTATTCTTCCCGTATTTTTACTGTGCAGTTTCCTTATTACGAATTTGTGGACCGATCCTCCATGTACAAATATGGCTCCTTGTTCTATGCCATTAACTTTGTCATTAGCTTCCCTATGTTCTTTAGGTAAGTTTTTTCTCCATGTATGTGAGTAATATTATTTTTTTTTTTTTTAACGAGCTTTTATATTTGACGGTCAGGATTGACGAGAAACCTGGTGATCGGTGGGACCTGCCTAGGGTGGCCATTGATGCTTTAGGTGCTGCAATGTTAGTGACAAGACCTTCAACGATCGGTTTCAATAGATCGACTACCGATTTGAACAGTTGGACGTGTGTTTCACGGATTGGTTTGCAGATCTTTCGACGGGATCGAGGATTTGCGTTTGACATTTAACCATGTGGTATTTGAAACCATCAAGTGATGGATGTATAAATCTCGTTTTTAATTTCCAATTCCTATACTTTCTTAACAAAATTAACTTCTGAATGCGAAGGTTCAGGACTTTGATCTGCTATTTGATTGTTGAGGAAATTGGTTAAAGAGTCTTGTGTGGTTTGATGGAATTTAGCCTGCTGCTTCTTGTGTTTTTTCATCTGTTTTATTTTTTTGTAGTGTACTAGTTAGTTAGTTGTGGGTGTGAAGATTTGCAATATTTACGACCAATGGATGAGTTATGGGTTTTCTTAACAAATAAATTAATTACCTCTTTTTCTTTTTGTAACAAAAACCTTCAAAATTAATGGTTTAATTGCTTTTATTTGGATCGTCAATTGACTACTATAAATAACTTTTAGATAAAATGAACATTTTCTACTACTAAACATTCAATATTCGCACGAAAATATTGATGTTCCTCATTTGAAATTTTGTCATTGGATTTGTTGATACCCGAGCCCGGCCTCGATATGAGTACCGGTCCGACATATCGATAACCGAACAATGACCGGCCGGGTCAAAGGCGCCGGTCAACAGAGTAGCATATGGGTGCCGAGCCGATCTAAAGTCAAAGTCGTCCAGAACGGCGGGAGGAACAGACCTCGAACTCGGCACCCCATACGTAAAGATATGAGGTCGGCACCCCGTCAGAAGTTTCATCAGGACGGCCCCGGATAAAAACTCGATCTCAAATACAATAAAATAATGCCACTTGTCTACGAATGATTGCCGATGGGACGTCCAGCTCAGCCAGAACGTGTCCGCATTTAATGCAGCCCACGTTCGCATTAAATGTATGACAGGTAATGATTGGAGAATCCGGAAATCACTCCCAATCAGTCAGAGAAGCGCCGGCTTGTCCCATTGAGCTACTGTGCGACAAGATCGTTGAACAGTACCCGAACAGTGCGACATTAAAAGCTACTATAAATAGCAACCCACTTCATTTATTTTAGGGTTGTTGAATCTCAACTGTAAGGAGCTCTTTCTATATTTTCTCTCTCTAAAACTTGTAAGAAATTCGTGTAAGAAATATAAGTATATCGCAAGTGCCGACCTCGTACGAGAGGCCGACCTTGTGATCTTTTAATAAAACTGCAATTAAACCGTATTTCCTTGTCTTTTCCTTATTTCTTTTCCATTATTTACCTTTTTAACCGTTGACCGGAAACGCCCGTCAACAGTTTGGCGCTAGAGGAAGGGCCCCATAAGTTACTTGGTGTCAATTTTTCGATCTTGTGAAGCTACACACATCGCACTCATCTTTTTTCACCTTTTCATTTCCAAAAACCACTAAAAATGCCTTCATCCGGACATGACGACTCCACCCAGCAGTCCGGCTCCCAGCCCCGCCGCCACAACGGCGGGGAGTCCTCCCGTCGCGTTCAGCAGGGACCTATCGTCCCCGTACCCCCAGTTCCTACTTTCGCTGCGACTTTGCAGCACCCCGACGTCCTCAAAGCCCTCGAGGGGGTCTTCGCCAAGGCCCTCGCCAGTCAAACCGCCGGGGCGCACACTGTGGTGCCCACGGAGAACCCCGGCAACACTTTGCTCCACACTCCTGAAAAGGAGACCGGTGGACAGAGAAACCCAGCAAAATCCAAAACCACGGCTCAATCGCCGAACCGCGAGGCTCAGAACCGTCGCGACAAGAGTACCAGACCGGCTCCCACAGAGCAGACGGGGGAGAGCCGGCCAGAGAGAAGCCTCCCGGTCGTTCGTCGCTCTGTCCACCAACGCTTGGGAGACAAGAGCCACGCCAACCACGATCTCCGGGAGGTGATCAGACGAGGCAAAGCCACCGGCCACGACACTGAGGAAGTCGCGGCCCTCAAACGCAGAGTTGCCGAGTTGGAAGGTCGGCAGCTCACTGGGAGCGAGTTTTCACTCCCAGGCCATCAACAAACCCACACGCGGCCGACCCCTCGGGTCGCGGATAACGCCTCACCACTCTCCCTCGATATCCTGCAGGAGGCCGTCCCGAAGGGAATACAAATACCCCAGCTCGGCCTCTACGACGGGAGCTCGGATCCCGACTCGCACCTCGGCCTTTACACCTCATGGATGGACCTTCACGGCGCCTCCGACGCCCTGCGCTGTCGTATGTTCTCCCTAACGCTACGACCCAAGGCACAGAGGTGGTACCATTCCCTTTATCCCCGCTCCATTTCAACCTGGGCCCAGCTCAGGTCGGCGTTCCGATCCCACTTCATCGGATCGCAGGTCAACCTCGCCCCCAAAGAATCCATCTCCAACATTGTGCAGGGCGAGAACGAAAGTCTAAAGGATTACATTGCCCGATTTAATGACCGGGTCCAAAACATGGAGCGGTGCCACCCCGACGCCTTGCTCATTACGGCCCAGGGCGGCCTCAGGCCGAAGACACTTTTCAGGTGGTCCCTGTGTCAGAACAAACCAACCACCTACCAGGAGTTCCTAACCCGCGCTCAAGACTATATCATGGCGGAGGAGTCTTCATCCATCCCGACATTTGACGCCACGCCGGCACCGGCACAGGCGAAAGGGAAGACGAAGGAAGAAAAATCGGGGAAGCCGAGCAAGTCGTTCGCTGAGATCCGGGCTCAGCGGAGGCAAAGGGCCGAGGAGCTGAGAGAAAGCTACCAAGGCGTCTTTTCGGTGGGAGCCGCGGCAGTCTACGAGGAAATCAAGGCCAAGGGGCTACTGCCGGACCCTAAGCCGATGTTCACCGACAAAGACAAGGTGGATAAAACCCGCTACTGCTCTTACCACAAGGCGCATGGACACAATACCGACCAGTGTCGAAACTTGATCTCGGCACTGCTCAAGCTGATTGACGACCCACAACTCCGGAGATTCACCCACTCCGGAGAGAAGAGGAAGAAAGGGGGCCGTTTCGAGGAAGGCTCGGACAGCGACGAGGATGCTGACGTAAATCCTCGAAGAAAGAAGCCGCAACAGGGCGGCCCTCACGAGATCATGACCTTCTGCCCCACCCATCAAGATGAGGCCGGCACCTCCAGGGGCAGAAAAAGAGACCGATCTCCTCACGCCGGGGCCGACCCGGCCAACCTCCCGACCCGGCGTGTCAACACAAGCCGGGGCGAGTCCCTCCTCTCCCGGAGACAAACCAAGGCCTACGCCCGACAGGCCTACCACGCCGGGCAAAGAGTGATGCATGCCCACAGCAGACCGGCACCGGAGCCGACCCCAAACACCATCACCTTCAACGACGAAGACGCCTTCCTGTTCGACCATCCCCACTCCGACGCCCTGGTGATCACGGCGCCGATCATGGCGATAAAGATCCATCGTATCATGGTCGACACCGGGGCCTACGCCAGCATCCTCTACTACGAGACCTTCAAGAAGATGGGGATCGATAGGAAAGAGGTGCAGCCTTGCCGGGAGCGGATCCAGGGCTTCAACGGCCAGACCGTCGCCTCGGTTGGTCAGGTCACGCTACCGGTCCGGTTCGGAGACAGGGGGCAGCCCACGAAGACGATCTTGGAAACCTTCAAAATCGTGGACTGCCCAAGTGAATACAACGCCATACTGGGCAGGACGGTGCTCTACAAACTGAAGGCCGCCGTCTCCATCTTCCATTATTCTCTCAAATTCCCAACTCCCGATGGGGAGGGAACCCACCGAGGAGACCAAAGGGAGGCGCGGGAATGCATCCTGACCATCCCGCGCACCGAAATAAATATGGCAAACTTACAGGAGGACGCCGGGGTGGCAGACATCGAGTCGGCGCACGGCGGTCACGGGGGCAACCGCATGCTGGGAAACCAGACAGGTTCGCACCCCCCGACCTCATCGAGTGCCGACCCCACAATCACGGAGCCCAACGCCGGGGCAGATAACTTGGCCCCGGGCACCGAGATGACGGACCCCGTCGAGGACGGAGTCGAAGGCGACCTCGACGGGGACAGGGGGAGAAGGGCTGGCAAAAGGCCGATCACGGAGGAGGACGAGCTCGACCCTCGGACACAATACGAGGAGAAACGGGGAACGAAGAGGGCCGAGCCGATGGATGAAGTCGAAGTCATCTTCATCGACGAAGAGACTTGCCAAAAACAACTCCGAATCGGGAGCAGGCTGTCGGGGCCTATGAAGGCCGAACTGACCGAATTCCTCCGGCAAAACGCGGACGTCTTTGCGTGGACCCATGAGGACATGGTCGGCATCGACCCACAGGTCGCTTGCCATCGGCTGCAGGTCGACCCCACGGTCAAGCCGGTCGTGCAAAAGCGGAGGAAGCTCGGCCCCGACCGGCAGCAGGCCCTGGAGGAGGAGGTGACCAAGCTCAAAGATAACGAGTACATACGTGAAGTCCGGTACCCGACCTGGGTGGCCAACCCGGTACTCGTAAAAAAGAGCAGCGGAGCATGGCGGCTGTGTATTGATTTCTCCGACTTGAACAAGGCATGCCCCAAAGACAGCTACCCCCTCCCCCACATCGACTACATGGTCGACGCGTACTCCGGTTACAATCAGATTCCCATGCATCCGGACGACGAGGAGCATACCTCCTTCTACTCGGCACGTGGTCTCTACTGCTACACCATGATGCCGTTCGGGCTAAAGAACGCCGGAGCCACCTACCAACGTCTAGTTAATAAAATGTTTGCTAGCTTGATAGGTGAATGTATGGAAGTGTATGTAGATGACATGTTAGTCAAGTCCGTGTACACGTCCAATCATGTAAACGATCTTAATATAATGTTCTCTATTTTGCGTGATTATTCGATGAAGTTAAACCCGAAAAAATGTACGTTTGGCGTTGGTTCGGGAAAATTCTTGGGGTATATAGTTAGTCAGCGCGGCATTGATGCAAACCCCGAGAAAATCAAGGCGGTGCAAGACCTTCGACCGCCAACATCAATTAAAGGAGTCCAGAGCCTGACCGGCAAGCTCGCCGCGCTGAGTCGATTCATTTCAAAGTCCACCGACCGCTGCAAACCTTTCTTTGACGCGATCAAGAAAAATCACAAGTTTGAGTGGACGCCGGCCTGCCAAAAGGCGCTGGAGGCAATCAAGGAGACCCTAAGCCAGGCTCCAACGATGCAAAAGCCCCGCCCAGGTGAAATGCTGTATCTATACCTGGGGATTTCCGAGGTGGCCGTAAGTGCCGCCCTGATTCGAGAAGACGACTCAGGCCAGTTTCCGATCTACTACGTGAGCAAGGCCCTCCACGACGCC